ATTTGGTGCTCCAGTGAGTATTTGAGGCAGAGAAAATGGAGTTAAAACACTAAAAAAACACTAAACTCTAATAAAATGTAAGGTTGTTGATGTCATTGTGTCCACTCCCCCACCACCATGATGTACATGAGTGATGAATATAAACTGTATCCTGTATTTAGAGCCAGACATGAAGTTGTCATGGTAACGCCGACTGCACCATCACGTCTGTCCTCCCTCCCTTCCTCCCCTCTTTTCGACGTCTCTCTCTCTCTCTGTCTCTCGCCCATATCACAAACAAATGATGGCAGCCGCTGCCATGCTGCAGCTGATGTCACCGGTTACCATGGCAACCGGTGCTCAACTGTGACGCTGAGCGAGAGGAGGAGGGAGGGAGGAAAGGAAGGGAGGATGGAGGGGAAACCTCGAGCGGTGGGAACACGTTTCAGTGGTTTTACAGTAAAATCTGAGGTTCTCAAACACCCCCAACAAAATAAATATATATAATTGTATTTATGTGAATATTGTTTTGTAAATAACATAATATACAATAATAATGGTAGAATATATAAAAGGCTGCATTATCACCTATAAAACTCTTTGCTAAGTCAAGAATAAAACCAATAAATAATGTCCATCTTTACTGCAAAGAGTCCCACCTTTTTTGCATTTAGCATCTTTTTCAGAATTATCTGCAAATAAAACCAGATTTGAATCCTTTTTTTACACCCCAAACTGCACAGGAGGAGGCTGGATGTTTTTTTTATATATTTAATATTTGAAATATTAATGGATCATTTTGAGGTACACAGTGAAAATATGGAGAACATTTCTCATCTGCCTCATAGTGGCAGAAATGGGCTTCCATATATAACTGCACCTGCACAAAGTCTTAGTGTACACAAGTTTCAAAACACGAAACCACAACTCAAACATAAAATAAACAAAACTGCTTATTGCATATACTTGTGTTTCCTTGATTTATGACTTGTTAATATCACTTCTTCCTCAGAGGAAGCTGGAATTTGCACTGCGTGTATTTGCACAAAATTATTGAATGAAACACAATCCAACCGGCATATGGAGCACCATCTGGTCTGCAGAACAACACCAGCCCCTGTGACCCCTCTGAAAACGTTCCTCAGCGCTCCTGTTCTGGTACAGTACGACGCGATGACACTTTAAACTCCTGACCTCCGCCCGCCTTCACACACACACAAACCTGAACCTCGTGTTAGCTGGCACATGATCTGAATCATCACTTCCAGCTTCCTCGTACTTTCCTCGTACTGCCGGGCTAATTCCTTTTATCTGAGGTAACAGAAACAGCCTTTTTTTAATGTGCTGTCTGAGGAAAAAACCACTCACCTGGATCATGTAGAGCTGAGCAATGCGGTACTCCTCCACGCTCATCGGCATGGGGATGCGATACTCCTTGATCAGCATGGTTGTGCTTGAATTGGACCGACTCTCTCTCTCTTTGTGTGTGTGTGTGTGTCCAGAGGGGAAGGAGTGTAAGAGGGGTAGTCGCTCCTCTCGGTCGGCTTCGCTACCCAAGCAGCATGTTCAAACAGCGAGGACGGGAGTCATCGTTATTCACACCTGAGAGAGGAAAGAAGGGAAAAGAAGTGTAGGAATAAGTAGACTTTTAGCTTCCAGCATTACGAAGCAGAGGAGGAGTTAGCATGTTTGTCTCGAGGATTAAACCCCTCGTACACAAGCCAATACATCCTGTGTGTGTGTGTGTGTGTGTGTCCTCCTTCCCTCCTACAGATCTATTACAAGGTAATCCACTGACCTACGCCTGAAATCCCCCAGCAACCTAAATCCCAACTCGGTCTACACACTGAAGATTCACCCAAGTTGTAGTCAGTCCAACAAAGCTTCATCTTCTGTGAGTGAGGTGGATTAAAGGTGACAGTGTTTTTACATTTCTGCCATGTGAAAGCTTTGTTGCCCAACACATAATATGTTTCTGTAACACTGAAGATGTGAACTACCCATCGGAAGCGTGGCGTAGCCTTTCTGTGTAAACTGACCCAAAGCTTTAGGGTTGGGAATCAGTAATCTAGAGCACATGGAGCATACAAAAAGCTTCTGTGACATTAGCAAAGCCTTCTAGCTCTGAATGCTTCCCTATTCAACCAAACTGTGGGACAAATTAAACAGAGAAATATGATATATAAATATGATATTAACACAGTTTGTATTGATGAAGATTTTATTTTCAGGAAAAAACTAACCATAATGCCATGTAAGTACAGTATTGAGGTTCTTTATGTGAGTATTTATTTATTTTCCTGCTACTTTACACATTTATTTGACACCTAATAGTTATTTTACTGCACATATTTAGCTTTTACAAGAAAACATGGGGTCAGTTTATAAAATATGATACATTGTTCAGTGTTAATCAGATAATTTAAGTCTGTAAGCATGCAAAAAAGTCAGTAGAAACAAGTAAACACAACAATGACGTATCTGAAAATCGTTTGTTAGGAATAACCTCTTAAGATCTCTTTGACACTTAAGATTTTAGGACTCAATTATTTGAACGATATTTATAAGAAAACACAATCAAAGCTGCTATTTTCTGCATTAATCCTTATACTAATTTTGCTGATAATACTTCTGTATCTTTATTTAAATAATGTGTTGATTCTGACGGCCCCTGTGGACATAAGCGGAAGTGCTTTTACCGCCTCGTTTCATTGATTTCAAGGGGAATCCGACCCGGTGGCAGACATAAAGAATAACTATATAGAAATATCTTCTCACTGATGGTCTTGTCGGTCATATAGAGGCGGTATGGTAACAGCATTTAGGATTTAATATCTGGCTCACTCCCTGAAAAATAAACACTGCCATCCTTCCCTTCCAACATCAACACCCATCTATCCAAACAGCGGTGACAGTGTGTGACGGTTGTGAGGCTGCCGAGGGGACCAGTCGCACACCAACTGCACAGACGGGTCGAGTTCAGGAGTCACATGACAACGGCTACTTAATCTCAGACGGATTAAGACGGACTGCAAACCTGACGCTGTCTTAACATGAAAGAGAAAGGAGGAGGAGGAGCTGACATGTGAAATGAAAAGTGGTGTGTGTGTGTGTGTGTGTGTAGTGTGTGTAGTGTGTGTAGTGTACAGGTTGTGTCCCACAGTCTGTCCATCTGTGTGTGATCAGGCTATGCATGTTTGGTCAAGCTGCAGTAACAGATGAACCGTGGAGGTCAGACAGTACAGTACGACAGTGAAAGCAGCTTGGAAGCTCCTGCGGCCGACAACACGCCGCTTCAGTGTGCGAACTATACCTTGGTTTTCACTTTTACTGCCCAAAGAGAGGATTGATTGACTCACATTATGCTGACTTACAAAGAAGAGCAACAAATAATGCAATGTGCAGACTGAGTGGGACTGAGAAAGTCTGTCTGTTCTGATATTTGAGTTAAATTAGAATTATTAATCACCCTTTTAGCCTACGTATGATTCACGATGATGAAGATACAGAAAGAAATGGCAAAAATAGCTCCAACATTTCACATGTCATGTTTTCAGGGAAGCTCGTGTTTCCCCTGTAGTTTCCACCTTGATGGAGCTTCAGGAGCTTTTTAACATTTGTTTAAGATGTAAATTTTCATGTTCGCTAGTAGTGTTGGTCCAGACTGAAATAATAAGTACAACCTTTGCATTTATGGTCAAAAAATATTGTCCAGACATTCATGAACCCCATTTAAGATGCACACTACAGACGAAAAAGAAGTTCAGCCCTCCGTTAACTTGAATGGAGACAAATAATTGAATCTTGCAAATCTTCTAGACTTTAAAAATGTTATTGGATTTAAAATGAAATAGTGCTGGGGGGAGAAAAATTTATTACCTCCACTGTTATAATATAAAATTCACAATATCAAAAGATATAAATTATGTAAGAAACAAAAAAGAAAGGGGGAAGAAATTTAATTATAAAGAACTTAATCTTTTAAAATGCTCTCTAATTTGTAAAAGAAGCTCAAAACAAATAACCCAATTTTCCCCCCAGGAAACTGTTAGTAAGCCACCCAGATTCATCTTGTCCTGTGATCAATTTAGTTAGCTAAAAATAGCCACGGTCATTAATAACATGGCATGTGAATGAAGAAACACAGGCAGGTCATCATTCAGCCCTCCAAAACCACACCGAGGCTTGTCTAGATGAAATACGTGTGTGCTACAAGTGCTAATTCCCATGATGCACGCAGTGAAACAACAGCTACAGGTATTAAATCTGCAGCTCGCTCTGGATCAACCATGAATGGAGATTCAAATCCAAGCGGTTCTCTAGAGGCTGTAACGTACAACCTTATTTACCGTGCTGAAGGGGTTCGTGCTCTGATACAATTATAGCAGGGAAATGGAAAGAGGCATTTCTCGCTGAATCCTGTGAAGAAAAAGTCCTTGACCGACAGAGGAACTGCTATATATAGAGACACAGTAATCCGCATAAAGCAAAAATGTGAGACAGAGACAGATAAAAACTGACGGATAGACAGAAAGAGAGATAGACAGAGCCATGCGTGAAAGACCCGAGTCTTTTGTTTTTTTTTATTTGCCTCCATCAGCTAAGTGAGCTGTGAGTCAGCACATCAAATGCAGCTGCCTGCATTCGCTGGAAAAAAGATGAACAGAAACTGAAGATGAACTCAAGAGGGTGGTTGCTTTACAGCGGGGATGCTACTGGAAGTAATATTAAAGAAAAAACTAATATCTTTGGGTTCTGGACAATAATCAGTTGCAGCCTTAGACGCTAAATTACTGGTCTAAGTTTTTGGTCTACGTCGTTTCGGTTTTACTGACCACAAATTCCCTGTTTTGGTTCCCTCTTACTGCTCTCAAAGTGTCATTTTCAGCAGAAAAAGCTCTAAAAAAGCAGCACCAAACACACAGTTAGCAACTAGCTGGTGAACACTGTGGAGCATTTGGCACCTAAGAGGCAGATATTTCCTTCAGGAGTTGGTAAAGACCAAAAACAGAGCTAAAAGAGAGTGAATGTTGGACACAAACAAGTGAACGATGTTTCTCTATAACTGCTGGATGTGTAACGAAGCCACTGTTTGCCAATAAGATCAACTTAAAAGGTGATGATATCTCGTGTTCACGGATTGGCCTCCACACTGATCCCTTAAGCTAAGTTACAAAATACTGACAAATATCCATCAAGTTTCCAGAGGCAACAGACATCTTTGCTCCCTAAACTCAAAGATATTCAGTTCACAATGAAAGACAACAGAGAAAAGCAGCAAATCCTCACATTTGAGACACTGGAACCAGAGAATATTTGGCTCAATTATAAAATATCTTCATTATTTTTCTGTCAATCGACTAATCATTAGAGCAGTTTACATATTATCCACCAACAGCTCTACATTAATGCCATTTAATGTTTCATTACAAAACCAGAATAAGAAGTTTGTTCGAACACAAAATTACGAAATAATCAGAGACAGAAACATAAAGATCATTGATTATTGTACAGTATTAAATACATTAATGGTCTAAAGCTTTTCATAGCACATCTGTAACATAAGAGAGATTTTAGTATATATTCATGTTGCCCAATAACAACATTAGCTGACCGTTTAACCCTGAAACTAGAACATTAAAAGGTGGTTTCTGAGTTGAACAGACAACTATATACTTCATTTACACGGGTCGGCTGTGGTAGAGCGGGTCGTCCACTAATCGGAAGGTTGTCGGTTCGATCCTCGGCTCCTCCCTGCTGCACATCGAAGTATCTGAACCCCAAGTTGCTCCTGATGCTGCGTCATGTGGCCGTAGTGTAAAAGCATTTTGAGTTGTCTCACGATACCAATAAAGTCCATTTACCATTACACTACACACAGAATAACAGGAAGCACTTCACCAACATGTGATTCATCTCAAACATCCTTCAATATCTCTTCCTGATTCCTTCTAATTACTTTGGGTTCAGACCTAAACAAAGTTCCCTTGGGCTTATGGCCAATTTCCAACAGAGCTACCAGACCACAGCTTGCAGGGAAATGAGCTTTCTGCCTTCCCTGTGCACCTCTACCCACTCTAATCCATTTAACTGATGAAGTTTTACAGCATTAGGAATAAAACATGGAGCCAATCATAAAGGCAGAATGGCCAGCACTGCTGGGTGGCTCAGAGTGCTGCTGTGGTGTGAAAACATTTTCACAATCACTGGCCAAAACCCCAAGAGAGGAGTGTCTTTGTGCAGCCGCTGGGGGAAAAACTTCAAACAATCCCGTAGTTTTTCTGGCTAAATTCGGAGGAGAAAAAAAAAGCCTCCTAATTGAGCTCACAGCCGAAAATCACAGTGTCCACTCCGCCTCCGCAGAGAAAGTAAATGTCTCATCTGCACCACTGAGAGGGTGACTGGCTGCCAGCTGCCCTCCATCAAAGTCCTGTGTGATGGCAGACAGAGAAGGCCTACAGCTAAATTGCACCAAATTTGCCACCGAAGCAACCGACTCAAGGAAAAACAGCTCTGGTCCATTACACACATCAACGCCTTCTTCCCGGGGGTCGAAAAACCCACCCCGGACCTACCGTCCACCCATTCATGTTAA